TACTCTGAAACTGATCTACTGGTACAACTATTGCATTCTACAACTGTGCAATTAAAAAGGTCCCATTTAAACAGCTCTATCATTTGCACTACACAGGCAGATTAATTTTCTAATCAAAACATTCTGGAAAATAATTAAGCATGACATTAAACAGTGTTGTGCTAATTATACCCCCCATGAAGAATTCCAATCAGAATTTAAAGTGCTAGAGAAATCTACCAAAGCACAAGTGCTTTACTGTACTTTAAGAAAAATCACACATTCATATAATAATTTTGGTTGTAACTCCTGTTCTAAATTAACCTATTCTTCCATAAAACGATATTATGACCCAAATCCTGCAAAAGACTATATGGAACGTTATAGGTATACACACACAGAACACTTCACATGGGTGTAGGGGTCTGCCTGTATAGAACAAATTGAGGGATCAAGGCCTGTACTGTTTCCTTGTTATTGTTTTGTATTTAAGCAAGTCAAGTTATTTTAGAAAAGGGGATTGTAATTATTCTGGGTTTTTAATTTGATTTTATTTTTATTGCATTAAAGACAAACAACAAAGAAAAAATTACAATGGGTAACGAGTATTTTATATCACATAATGGAAGCAAAAGGAGACTTGTGCCTTTTACTTCTGTTATTTGATATAAAATATTCAGGACATAGGCACAGATATAGAGTTAATTCCTTCCAATGTCTATTACCTTGTATTTATCAACAAGGAAATTCATCTGCCATTGAGCTGGCCATTTACTTTGTTACGTCTTTCTGAAGTTGCTTAGAGCAGGGGTTCTCAAACTGGGGGTCGGGACCCCTCAGGGGGTCACGAGTTATTACATGGGGGGTCATGAGCTGTCAGCCTCCACCCCAAACCCTGCTTTGCATCCAGCATTTATAATGGTGTTAAATATATAAAAAATGTTTTTAATGTATAAGGGGGGTCGCACTCAGAGGCTTGCTATGTGAAAGCGGTCACCAGTAAAAAAGTTTGAGAACCATTGGCTTGGAGTTTCTCCAGTTTTGACTAGCATACCAATGTTGTCACCTTACAATTCACCCTGTTTTCCATATAACTTATAAATATTTTAAATAACTGTAATGTTAGAATAGAACCTATGTCATCTCACTGTAAGTCTTCTGTCATGATGACAGCTCCATAAACAATGTATGAGAGAGGATAATTGAAAATCACATTTAACATATAAAATATAGATCTAGATGCTTGTTCAATATTGAAAGAAAATAGTAACATGCATAGTAATGATATGCTTCACAGTACTTCTTGCTATTATTTTGAAGAGGAATGTTAAAATCTTGAGTCTAGGTTATAGAATTTGAGGTATATAGTTATTATTATAGAAATAGGAGCTTATTTGGTTAACCTGTCCTACTGTATGTATGTTTTTTCTAATCAGTTCCTCCCCAAGAGTAGAGTTTCTCTTTTAGTAACTGAATCTAGAAAATGTCTAACTGAGCAGGTAGATTAATTATGAGTTGTTCAAAGTTCATTAGTATTGTGTCCTGGAATAAGTCTCCAGTGGTCAATAGCCCTTTGGTGTCCCATCTTTGAAAATTAGCCTCTTCCGGTCCTAGAGTTAATTTTGAACAAAACGTTTTTTGTGTCTGAAATGTTTGAGGGACAATTCCTTAGAAGAGGAGCATTCCCCATTTTCAAGTAAAACGTGGTCACTCTACTCTGAGTATCCTAAGGCTGAATCTGTCTGGCACACAGCATAGGTGCTGGAACTGGGGATGTTGCTGCACCCACTGGCTTGAAGTGGATTCCATTATATACAGGGTTTCCAGTTAGGTTCACTGGCTCTCAGCACCCCTATTATACAAATTGCTCCAGCACCCGTGGCACACAGGGATCAACTCCTATACCAGAGGTGCATACTATCTGGTCAACTGAGGGAACTGCTCTGACAACTTGCAAGGACCATTGTAATGGTGAATGCAACTGGAGTGAAATGGAGCTGCTAGTTTTTCTCTATACTGATTCCTATGTTGACAGTGCGTGTGGACACATATTTAGCTTCACTTCACACACACCTCAGTTCTCTCTCCTTGTCATAACGTCAGCATGACTCGCCCGTGAGCTGACAGCCACCCTGGAATAAGAGCGCCTAGCTCTGGTTTCCCGCCCCAAGTTCTGCTGGGTACACCAATCCCTCCGTGCGTAGCTGGGAGAAACTCCACCCAAAGGCGACTACAGTTCCCAGCATGCCATGCTAGCTATTCCCCGCGTGGTTATCGCCGCGTTGCTTTTCGGGATATGTAGTCCGGCTGGGGCTGCCCCTGTGGTTCGAAGAACACCGCTGGTTCAGCCTCGCCGGGCAAACAGCTGATTGGCAGGGATTGACAGAAGGTCCGACCAATGATAAAACAGACATGCAAGCCCGCAGTTCCTGATTGGTTAGTTCGGGAGCTAGGGGGCGGGACGGCCAGTGGCGGGACTATTCGGACGCGGCAGAGTGTCCTGCGGCGCGGAGAGCCGCGCTGGAGAAGCCGTTTGCTGCACAGCCGGATTTTCCTTCTCCGCATCCGAGCATTTAGCGCGGCTGCTGGGGCAGAGCGAGCAGCCGGAGGCGGCCGGGATTAGAGGAGCTTCCCGGCTAAATCCCCTGCCGGGCCGAGGCGGCGGCTTTACCCTGAGCCCCCCCGCGCCGCCCAGCTAAGCCGCTCTAATTACAGACACGCGCCGGGCGCGGCCGAGGCCAGCGGCGCCAGCAGGGGAGCGCCCCGGATCCGCCGGCCTGGGCGAGTCAGTGACCCACCTGCCCGGGAAAGAGACCAACGCGGGCCATGGAGCCGCGGCGGCCGCAGCAGCGCTACAGCGACTCGTCGCCGCCGCCTGCCCGGGGCGGCCGAGAGAACAAGCTGCTTCGCAGGAAGGTGCCCCCCGGGGCGGGGAGTGGGGCCGGCCCGGAGGACGCGGCTGTGGACGGCAGGAAACCCAAATTTGTAAGTGTGAGGCGGCCAGCAGCGGCTAGTGTAACTGGCTCCTGCTGCTGCCCTAGTCAGCGGGGCAGGAAGCAAATCCCGGCCTTGCCCGGTCAAGTCAGCCCCAGGGCCCCTGGGTGTGTCCCACGCTGGCCACCTAAGGCTGGCGGTGCTGCCCCTCCCTGGCCCCGGGGGCCCAGTGGCTGCCTTTCCTCCCGACCCGGCCCAAGAGGAAAGGTGGGCTCGAGTCAGTTTTAAAATCACAAATATCCGGGCGCTGTGCTTTCTCTTCCGTCTCCTGCCAAATTCACTTTCCCAGCTTCATATAGTTCTGTCTCCTCAAGTGCCGTGCGAGGCCTGCAGGGAGAGGGGAAGCTGACCGCCCAGAGAGAGGGTCTGGAAAGTTGTACTTGTTAGAGGCGGGACTGGATGGGGCTTTCTTTTCAGCATGCTGAGTGCTCACCTGAGCGAGTGGATGGTCAGTGGTGACAGCTCAGGCTTTTCGACTGGGGGAAGAGAGGGAACTGGCTCAAAACAATGATTGACGTTGCCAGTATTCCTTTAAATTCGTATTGTATGTGTCGAAGGACATTTTGTTTGTTGGGGATCTCTGGGCTCCTGTAAACTGGGTTTGCTGTCACAAACTAAATACAATGCTTCTGATCTACTAACACAGAAGGGTTCAGGAGCTGCTGGCTGTTCATGGAAAATTAAAAAAATCAAAAGTGGTACCTAGAAGGCTGCATAATGGATAATTAAGAAGGAGTTCAGATAGAGCACTCTTGATAGCCACAATTTGATAGTGAAAGTGAGAATCTCTCAGCTGGGTTAAGGATGCTTTTTTAAGGACCACAGCATCTACTGTTTCCCAGCTGTTAAGTGTGGGCAGGATCTCTTAGAAAGATATTAAAGTTAAGTGTGGTCTTCATAGAACAGTTTTTGTTTGTTTGGGTATAACCTGAAGTGTGAATTTAAATCAACATAGTTATATCAGTATATTTCACACCCCAGATATTCTTATTTTATTGAGTATATATATTTTTTTCCTGTTTAGTTCATATTGCTTGGATAGATGTTTTAGCTAAACTAAAAGAAATTAACAAAAGAACTTGAGTAAGAGTGTGCACATGAAGCGTTACATATGTCTAACTATATTAGTATAACTGCTAAACTTTTCTATGTAGACTATCGGGTAGATTTTGCTGGTGAGGGAGCTTTTCGTTTTCTGGCTAATAGATTTCATCCGCTAATTCAGTGGTCTCCAACCTTTTTATGCCCAAGATCACTTTTTGAATATAAGGGCAACGCAGGATCTACCTCACTCCTTTCCAGAGGCCCTGCCCACTCCACACCCCCCTCCCCCGTGGCTCGCTCTCCCCCACCCTCACTCACTTTCAGCAGGTTGGTGTTCAGGAGGGGGTGTGAGCGCTGGGCTGGGGATGAGGGGTTTGCAGTGTGGGAGGGGGCTCTGGGCTGAGCCTGGGGAAGGGGGTTGGGGTGCAGGAGGGGTGAGGGGTGCAAGCTCTAGGAGGGAGTTTGGGTGCAGGAGGGGGCTCTGGGCTGGCACAGTGTTGGGGTGTAGGGTGTGGGATCTGGAAGGGGGGTCAGGGCTGGGGCTTGGGGTGCTGGCTCTGCGACGGAGCTCAGGGTGGGGTTCAGGGTGCAAGGGGAGTATGGGGTGCTGGCTCCGGGAGGGGGCTCAGGGATGAAGGTTAGGATGCAGCTTCCCGCCGGGCAGCACTTACCTCCGGCATCTACCGGTGGGCGCAGCGAGGCTAAGGCAGGCTCCCTGCCTACCCTGGCCCCAAATCATTCCCGGAAGGGGCCAACGTGCCCCTGCGGCCCCTGGCAGGGGTGGGGGGCATATGGCTCCGCACTGCCCCTCTCGGCAAACACTGCTCCTGCAGCTCTCAGGCCAGTGTGGGAGCAGCACACAGAGGGAGACCCCTGCTCCCGCACCCTTGGGGCTGAGTTGGCCACTTCCGGGAGCGGTGTGGGGCCATGTAGGCAGGGAGTCTGCCTTAGCTGCAGCCACACTATGCTGCCAGAGATCACGATCGACTGGGAGACCCTCTAGGATCGACCAGTCAATCACGATTGACAAGTTGGTGACCACTGCTCTAGTTAGTGAGTGTCTAACCAATTTTGTTTCTTATAGTCATTAATGATCTGACTGACTTTACAGTTAGGTCAGGGATAACTTGTACCTGGTATTCCTGTACACTGGTGATTTCTTTAATTTCAAACTCTGAATTCCTTATACTATCTAAAAATCCTCTGTAAAAAATTTACTTTCACAGGGTGAGTTATTTTGACATGACAAAGTATTATTTTTCTCATAATCATAGAAGGGAAGGATAATAGATTGTGTCTTGATCAGTATGTTTTTGGACTGGACTTCATATTTTTTGAGACAGCTATTTAACATTCTTTCTTGCAACCGTAGTCTTCACTTCTTAACATGTCTCCCACAGTTCTTAATCTATTATACCTAATGTTATTGCAAACACAGTTGTAAAAGAGCATATTAGGATTTACTCTTTCATAAATTGATTTTTAACTGTTCATCTGATCTTAGTCATGGTCACAACTTGCTGCTCACAAATTAAAACTTTGTGAACACATGGTGAGTCATTAACTATGATTTTGAAGACATGATGGGGGAGTTGCATGATTAAACAGAGAATGGGGCTGTACAATACTGAATACAGTTGATCAGAGCTTTGGATTCTGTCCAGGACTACAGCAAGAATTCTCCATTTTACTTTATTAGTGCTGCTAGAAATAAAAGCTGCAAATACCCCAGACAACTACTTCTAACAGTTAATGATTCCTAATACAGTACCTAGGGGCAGTCCAGTATAATGGTACAGATTCCTCAATGTAACCCTTCCACACTGATTTGCAGTCCATAAGTGCAGTCATCCCATATATGTAAGGCCCTACCAAATTCAGGGTCCATTTTGGTCAATTTCATGGTCATACATTTTTAAAAATTGTAAATTTCAGCTATTTACATCTGAAATTTCATTGTGTTGTAATTGTAGGGGTCCTGACCCAAAAAGGAGTTGTGGGGGGGTTCAAGGTTATTGTCGGGGGGGTTGCGGTACTGCTACCCTTACTTATGCCCTGCTGCTGGCAGAGGCACTGCCTTTAGAGCTGGGCACCCAGCCAACAGCTGCTGCTCTCTGGCTGCCCAGCTCTGAAGTCAGTGCAGAAGTGAGGGTGGCAATACTGCGAGCCCCCTAAAATAACCTTGTGACCCCCTGCAACTCCCTTTTGGCTCAGGACCCCTTATTTGAGAAACGCTAGTCTCCTGTATAGTATAGGGTAAAAACACACAAAAAAATAGGTTATTTGGGTACTTAATTGTTATCAAAAGATTGAGAAGGTAAGATGGTGGTTGGACCTGAAGTGGCCAAAAAAGTACCTAAAATATCAGATGCTTGTAGGTTGCTCAAATGGCTATCAGTAAAGGTACTTCACGTGCTTCAGTGTCAGAGATGACATCTCATTGCCTGGTTCATGAGATTGTTCAGGCTTGCGACTGGCAACCTTATTTTTCAGTCAATTCCTATTGTTTGGGCTAACATGAACTCTTGGACCTTCAGAATTTGCTGTGGTAATAGCACTCTGCAGGCAAGAGAGCATGTATGCGATCCCAGATCTTCTCTTGGCAAACTATCTTCATTAAGAAACCACAATCTTAAGAAACTTTGCTGATCTCTGGGATCTTGAGGCTAATGTTGAGTCAAAGAGAAAAGTTCTGATCTCTTCCTTGAGATTCGCTCATCTCCATGTGATCACAGACCAGGACAAGAGAAGCCTTTCTGTTGAGAGAATTGGCGAACTTGGAACTTGACTTTGTATCTTCTAAATCGACATCGGTATTGGGTCTAGAACTGCATGTCGCTGGGGGACCTGGATTTCTGCAAAGATCTGATTTCCTGGGCCAAATCTGTTCCCTGACTCTGAAAATTTCATGTCTTGGCTCTGGCTACCAATGGATAATCTGGAACTGACCTAACCAAGAAGGTTTGTTTCTCTTCGTTTTGAACCAGTCTGAGAACGGGTCAGATAAACAACTCTGGCTCCTGGGAAAATGAGTCATCTTAGACTTCTTAATTTTTTAGGCATATTGTTTGCAAAAGATCTAAACCCATTCAGAAAAATGGATGCCCCATGCAACAATCTTGATTTGAATGGTCTCCAAATCCTGACTTCCAGACTTGTGTATCTAGCTGCAACCACAAAATTTCCAGGTCAGTGAAACCAAAACCCAGCTCTAAAACTCCGTGTTCATCACAATCTGTGAATATGGTAAACCGTCTGTCTATGCTTCTCTTCTCCTAATTTGGAAGACTTCAAAGACAGTGAGCAGCCACCCTCAGAAGTAGCTGTGAAGGACCTATTGAAGGTGTGTGAAGGTCAAAGGCATTCTTTCCCACAAGATGACTCATACTTGATTCCTTTCTCCCTCCCCCCCTTAGTGTTGGGGTCTTGCTTGCAGAAAGCTGATGGCTCTTTAAAAAGTAGTTTCTGACATCTTGAATACTCTTGTATTTTAAGTAATATAAGAATCTGGTGTATTTTCACTTTTTTTTTTTTTTTTAGTGTTGAGCCTGCAAATTGTTGGTCTTAGGCCTCTCCAGGCTGGGTGAGCAAAGTGTCTGCTAGCTTCCTTAATATCTAGCTTTCTGAAAAGTTAAGTATCTGCCATCTTCACTAAAGTCTACAGTTCTGCTGGTGAACATTCATCTGTTTGTCAAACTCTTCTATTCAAGCTTCCTTTGTCCATTACCTTTAAACATTCCCTAATGGGAAGTTGTTTCTGGTAGACATTATTAAGGTTAAAGTTTTGTCATGGATATTTTTAGTAAAAGTCCTGGACAGGTCACGGGTAATAAACAAATTCACAGAAGCCTGTGACCTGTCCCTGAGTTTTACTAAAAATAACTGTGACAAAATGGGTAGGGAGAAGAGTCCAGCACCCACTGCTGCTGGGACCCCTGCCGCCCACG